CTGCCTGCGACTGCGTGGGCCGTGGGCCTGGGCCGGCCGGCGAGTGTACCGCGTTGTGTGAACAGCGTGTGTGCTTGCGGGTGCAAAGGTGTGCGCCTTGGCATTTGGGGGTGCGAGATCCGGCGTGCCTGGTGAGGGCCGGGAGTGTGCCCAGTTTCCTGTGAGAAGGCTGTGTGCATACAATCCCACATGACTTGGCGGTGTGAATCAGCGTGTGAAACAGCCTGTGTGATTGTACCATGTGTGCGCTGACCGTCTGTAGGTGTGGGGTGGATGCTCTGTTGTAACTGCACTGCAGTTTGTCTTTGAGGCGGCATTCGTAGGAACATGAGGTTTTCATCCCCACCTGCACATCTGTGTGTAGCTCTGAGCCACTGTGGGATCCGCAGTGACTCAGTGTGTCTAACTCTTCGCAGGTGCCTGGGTGAGGGAATGACTCTACCCTCCCCTGTGACTGAGGCTCTGTCCACACACAACTCTGTGTGTGTGTGTGTGTCTTTGAGGCAGGGTCTCGCTCTGTTGCCCAGGCTAGAGTCCAGTCTCGCTCACTGCAGCCTTGACCTCCGAGCTGAATCCATCCCCCTACTTCAGCCTCCCAAGTACAGGCACGTGCCACCACACCCGACAGACACATCTGAAGCTGTGTCAGCATCTGTGTGACTCCAGCTGTGACAGTGCAACAAGGCCCTTGTGGTTCAGTGTGTGTGGTCCCCAGGCGTTCACGTCCACGTCCTTTGTCGTGGGTGTCTAAGACTGCGTGTGCACATCACAGTAGGCCGGCATCTGAATGCTGTTCCTGTGGCCCCAGTCATAAGGCAGTGAAACGGATGAACTTTGGTTCTTGACGTCTACAGCCCGCGTGATGGGGAAGAGTGGCTGGTGAGCTCCCCTTTTATGTCACTGGTTCTTGTGTCTGTCTCCGTGGGCAGAGCAGACATGCAGATACCAGCACCTGAGACGCTGGGGCAGTGCCGCTGAGGCTGCTTCTGATAGTGCTGGGCTAAGGACAGGGCTGAGTCAGCCCATGATGGGCAAAGTCTGCGATGGGGTGAGAGATAGCTTATCGGGTTAAGTGGTGGTTTAGAGGGTTTTGTGTTCATACAGCTGGGTTGCTCCCTGAGAGTATGTGTTTGTGGGACTGTCGATGGAATGGGGTTCCTGGGGGACACCATGGTTGTAGGATGGTGGGTTAGCTCTGCAGGGGGGCAGGCATACTGTGTTGCTGGAGTCCCCACGGTCTGATTTGTGGTGGCTGTGCACCTCACGTCCACCCCCTCCATGGAGCCTGCAGTGTGCACCAGACTGTGTAATCTCCCTCTGGGTTTAATAATCTAGCAAAGCCAAGTCCTCACCAAGGCCCTCTGTGACCTGTCTGGATTTCCTCTCCTATCCCGGCTCCCCCATTGTGCCCAAGCCTCCTTTTTATGTGTTCCATAAAGCCCAGCACATTCCTGTCCCAGGGCCTTGGCACATGCAGTTTCCTCTGTCTGGAGCACTCTTGCCTGGACGTGTGGATGTCCCCAAGCTTATTCCCTCTCCTTCGGGGCTGCTCTAAAATCACCTTCCTCGGCTGGGCGCAGTGGCTCACGCCTATGATCCCAGCACTGGGAGGCCAAGGTGGGTGGATCACTAGGTCAAGAGATCGAGACCATCCTGGTCAACATGGTGAAACCCCATCTCTACTAAAAATACAAAAAATTCGCTGGGCATGGTGGCGCAGCCTGTAGTCCCAGCTACTCAGGAGGCTGAGGTAGGAGGCTGCGGTGAGCCGAGGTCGCGCCATTGCACTCCAGCCTGGGTGCAATAAGAGCGAAACTCCGTCTCAAAATAAATAAAATAAAATCACCTTCTTGCTGAGGTCTTCCTTGACAAGGATTAAAAACACAAAAGATGGGGCGCAGTGGCTTGTGCCTGTAATCCCAGCACTTTGGGAGGCTGAGACGGGCAGATCACTTGAGGTCAGGAGTTCAAGACCAGCCTGGCCAACATGGTGAAACCCTGTCTCAATACAAAAATTAGCAATGTGGTAATGCACGCAGCCTGTAATCCCAGCTACTCGGGAGGCTGAGGCAGGAGAATCGCTTGAACCCAGGAGGTGGAGGTTGCAATGAGCTGAGATCATGCCATTGCATTGCAGCCTGGGCAACAGAGTGAGACTCGTCTCAAAAATAAATAAGAAAACCCTTTCATCTGTTTAATAATAAATACATGGAACATATGTAGACCATAATGAATGTTCATGAAACCACAATCCAGTGTAAGTTCTCAAACTTTTAATGTTAATAAGTAACACAATTCTCCATATGCAGATGTTACATTTCATGCGTTAGATTTGCTATTTTTAAATTATACATCTCCATTTTTTGATCTTCAACTTAATTACACTGAAAAAAATGAGTATTTTGCTTGTGTAAACACCTCCATTTCTTTTTTTAAAAACAGGGTCTCCGTCTGGCCAGCGCAGTGGCTCATACCTGTAATCCCAGCACTTTGGGAGGCCGACGTGGGCGGATCATGAGGTCAGGAGATCAAGACCATCCTGGCCAACATGGTGAAACCCTATCTCTACTAAAAATACAAAAATTAGCGGGGTGTGGTGGCACGTCTGTAATCCCAGCTACTTGGGAGGCTGAGGCAAGAGAATCACTTGAATCCAGGAGGTGGAGGTTGCAGTGAGCTTAGATTGCACCACGGCACTCTAGCCTGGCGACAGGGGGAAACTTGTCTCAAAAACAACAACAAAAGCAGGCTGTCAACCAAGCTGGAATGCAGTGGTGTGATCACAGCTCACTGCAGCCTAGACCTCTCAAGCTCAAGGGATCCTCCGACCTCAGTCCCCGAGTACCTGGGAATCTGGGAACGCACCACCACACCTGGCTAAGTTTTGCATTTTTTGCAGATGCGGGCTTTTGCTAGGTTGCCCCGACTGGTCTTGAATTCCGGGGCTAAAGACATCACCTGCCTGCGCCTCCCAAAGTGATGGGATTACAGGCCTGGGCCACTGCGCCTGGCCCCAGCATCTCCACTTCTCATCTCACTTTTCAGCTTTAATTTTTCACCCCTGATATGTTTTACTTTTATCACATGTACTGTCTCTCCCTAGAATATCAGCTCCAGGAATACAGGGCTTGGGCACAAGATACCCTCTCATGTTTGCTGAGTGACTGCAACTTCCTGGTGCCCACCTTTTGCCCCGTGTCCCTGGTAAATGTGCATCCATCACCCGACCACCCACTCTGCATGTCTGTGGCTTCCCTGGGTGTGGTTTTCACCACACTGGTAGGCCCTGTACCATGGGTGCTGGGCTCTCGGGCCCCCATCTGTGTGTGATGTTGACCACCTGTGAGGGCTGGCAGTCCCTCAGTCTTCCTGTGTGTGTGTGTGTTCATGGACAGACATGTCTCTACCACTGCTGGTGGGCTCCGCTTGGGCGAAGGTTAGTGGATTTCAGCTGCATTGAAGATAACTATGTCACGTTGGACTATGATATCCTACTTATTTGGAGATGAAGTGTGGTTAAGGAGATATGTGATGGTACCCAAATGTCAAGGACTAGATGGTCAGTTTTTTTTTTTTGAGACTGAGTCTTACTCTGTCGCCCAAGGCTGAAGTGCAATGGCACAGTCTTGGCTCACAACCTCTGCCTCCCAGGTACAAGCAATTCTCCTGCCTCAGCCTCCTGAGTAGCTGGGATTACAGTCGTGCTAATTTTTTGTATTTTTAGTAGAGAGGCGAGTTTCACCATGTTGGCCAGGCTGGTCTTGAACTCCTGACCTGAGGTGATCCACCCGCCTTGGTCTTCCAAAGTGCTGGGATTACAGGCATGAGCCACTGCACGCGGCCTAGATGGTCAGTTTTGTGTCAACTTGGGCGGGCTACAGTCCCAGTTATTCAATCAAACACTCATGTAGCTGCAGCTATGGAAGTGTTTTGTAGATGTGATTGAAATCTGTATCAGCTGACTTTAGATAAGGGAGATTATCCCAACTCTGGGGACTGGGTAGAAAACTGATTCAGTGAGATAAATGGGCAAAACTGAGGCTTCCCTGGAGGAGAAATTCCTCCTAGGGACAGTGCTTCAGCCTTCCTCCTGCCCTACATGCCTGGGCACTTAAGGAAGAACAAGGGGAGGAGTTTCCTGGGACACATGCAGCTGGCCATTTCTGTTTCCCCAGTGGGGACTTGGGCTCAGCGTGAATCACAGAGGTCTCCATGGTCCTGGGGTTTCCTTGCAGAGATGGGGTCCAGGACAGGACGCCACTGGGTGGCAATGTGGGAACCATGGCACAGAAAGTATTGGGTGGGGCAGTTCTCCAACCAGGCTGAGTCACTAGAGCCTTTCACACCCCAACATCTGAGCCTGGGCTGGTAACTCCGCCCTGCACTTGCTCAGGCCTGAAGGCCGAGGCTGAGCTTCCTGAAGCTCCCAGGGAAGCAGGGAATCTGGTGGGGCACTCCATCCTTGAAGCCCCCTCCCCAGGGCCTGCTTCCCGGAGCTGGGGCTCAGGCGCCTGGGTTCTTCCCCAGGACTGATGATTCATCCCGGCTGGGGCCTTTTCACTTCTCCTTTGGGGCTAAAAATACTGGGACCCAGGCATCCAGCTGGGCCAGCCTTGTCACAGATTGCACAACGCCCCACACTTGAGTTCCGCTGACGCAGGCTTGGGTGCGGGTGGAGGCCCGAGTTGCACCCTGCTCAGACCCATGGAGCTCAGAGCCTGGGCCCCTCCACTGCTCCTTTCCTAAGCCAAGGACCCTGGGGTCTGGGCTGACATGGGAGCCTCTGGGGGACTCTGGGCTTGGCTGTGGCCCCTGGAAATGAAGTCCCTTCCCTTAGTCCCAGATAAGAGTGCTGGCCTCCTGCATAGACACAACGTCCCAGTTAGGAGCTGGGATAGAAGACAGCTAAAGAGGACTAAGTGAGAGGTCAGAGAGAGAGACATAGGACCACATGGGCAGAGACACATTAGCCAGCGCAGAGAGACAAGGACAAAAAGAGACAGGATGAGACAGACAACTGTAATAGAGACAGAAGAGTAGACACAGCCCACCTCCCAGCTGGAGACAGGAAGGACTGAGAGAGAGGGGACAACCAGGGCTTCACACCCAGCCCAGGATGGGAGAGGGCCCCTGGAAAAGAGAGGTCATCAACACACACAGTACAAAGTCTACCTGAGGCTAGGAGGGGGAGCAGGAAGAAGGGCCGGGGAGGCAAGGGCCCCGCCTGCGCGCTCCCTGTCGGCCTCTGCTGCCCCCTGCTGGCTCCAGCCGCAGTGTTCAGACAGGAAGAAGAGTCAGAGAAGGCTGCTGGGTTTAGCCTAGGCCACTTCATTCCCTTTACACACCACCCACCAACCACTGCCTGCCCCACTCCCTGCCCCCGACTTCACAGGGTGCCCCCAGGGCCAGCAGGTGGTGCAGGCGTCTTGCCCGTGACCTTGTTGGCACAGTCCAGCAGGGCCGTGTGAATGTCCTTGGCACAAGTAATCTGGGCTTTGATGACTGCCAGATACTGTGGGTAGGGCAGGCTATCAGGCTGCACTGCGTCGGGCTTGGTGGCTGTGGGCACCAGTGTGGGAGAGTGCTTGGCACTGTCGCAACTCTGTGACAGGCACTCATGTGCCAGGCGCTGTGGACAGACAGGTAAGGGGGCAGCATCAGCCCCACCCCAGGTCATTCTACCCCACCCCAAGGGTTAGCTGGGGGTTGTCGGTTTGGCCTTTGGATTTCCCAGGTCTGGGAGTCAGAGCCTGGCCCTGACAATCACTTGCTGGGGAACCTGGGGCATGCGGCTGCTCTTCTCTGAGCTTCAGTTTCCTCCTTTGGAAAATGGGTTTAATAACCACCTCTTCCTACCTCATAAGGTGAGAACAGTTAGAGCAGGTGTGTGACCCCCAGGCACAGGTCCTGGCACACCGTTTAAAGTGCCAAGAAATGTTAGCTACTATCACTGTTACTGCCCCCACCCCAGGCCTGGTGTTGGCAGTGGCATCTTGGATGGCACCTGTCCCTGTTTTCTGCCTGCTTCTCTAGCTGCTCTACTTTTTATTTTTTGAGACTTGCTCTGTTCACGAGGCTGGAGTGCAGTGGCATGAGTTCAGCTCACTGCAACCTCCGCCTCCTGGGTTCAAGCGATCCTCCTGCCTCAGCTTCCTGAGTAGCTGGGACTACAGGTGTGTTCCACCACGCCCAGCTAATTTTTTGTGTTTTTTAGTAGAGACAGGGTTTCACCGTATTGGCCAGGATGGTCTTGATCTTTTGACCTCATGATCCACCTGCCTCGCTTCCCAAAGTACTGGGATTACACCATGCCCGGCCTTTTTTTTTTTTTG